ACAGGTAGTGGATGTGGCAATTTGGCTGAATCAAGTCGGTCCTGAAAGGGTTAAAAAGATGACGGGGAATTTCTTCGTGATGTTGCCGAGAGTCCGGAATCAAGCGTATGCAGCTGTGGCTATGTGAGTGAGTGAGTGGTGCGCTGGACTGGCCCCCACCACCATAGCTGCTGCATGTTTCCATTGCGTGCACCACATGGCTTTTAGTAAAATAATTTTTTTTTAAATTTAAAAAACTGTAAGCCCGGATTACTAGTACAGTGAAACTGTAATGGCAACCACTCGACCATGGCAACCACTCGACCATGGCAACCACTCGACCATGGCGACCACTCGACCATGGCAACCACTCGACCATGGCAACCACTCGACCATGGCAACCACTCGACCATGGCAACCACTCGACCATGGCAACCACTCGACCATGGCAACCACTCGACCATGGCAACCACTCGACCATGGCAACCACTCGACCATGGCGACCACTCGACCATGGCGACCACTCGACCATGGCAACCACTCGACCATGGCAACCACTCGACCATGGCAACCACTCGACCATGGCAACCACTCGACCATGGCAACCACTCGACCATGGCAACCACTCGACCATGGCAACCACTCGACCATGGCGACCACTCGACCATGGCGACCACTCGACCATGGCGACCACTCGACCATGGCGACCACTCGACCATGGCGACCACTCGACCATGGCGACCACTCGGCCATGGCGACCACTCGGATATGGCGACCACTCGACCATGGCGACCACTCGACCATGGCGACCACTCGACCATGGCGACCACTCGACCATGGCGACCACTCGGATATGGCGACCACTCGGATATGGCGACCACTCGGATATGGCAACCACTCGACCATGGCGACCACTCGACCATGGCGACCACTCGGAAATGGCGACCACTCGGATATGGCGACCACTCGGATATGGCGACCACTCGGATATGGCGACCACTCGGATATGGCGACCACTCGGATATGGCAACCACTCGGATATGGCAACCACTCGGATATGGCAACCACTCGGATATGGCAACCACTCGGATATGGCAACCACTCGACCATGGCGACCACTCGGATATGGCAACCACTCGGATATGGCGACCACTCGGATATGGCAACCACTCGGATATGGCAACCACTCGACCATGGCGACCACTCGGATATGGCAACCACTCGACCATGGCGACCACTCGGATATGGCAACCACTCGGATATGGCGACCACTCGGATATGGCGACAACTCGGATATGGCGACCACTCGGATATGGCAACCACTCGGATATGGCGACCACTCTGATATGGCAACTACTCGGATATGGCAACCACTCGGATGTGGCAACCACTCGGATATGGCAACCACTCGGATATGGCAACCACTCGACCATGGCGACCACTCGACCATGGCGACCACTCGGATATTGGTTTTGGTCCGAAAAGGCTGCGATGCAGCGTTCCTCCTTTATTCCCAATCGAACATGGTTGAACAAGTGGTCACGTGCTCCTGCGTACATCAGTCACCTGGTCACCGTGCCTGCAGGGTACAACTTACTAGCCTGTTTGACCTTTTTTGGGTGCAGTCCTGTCACTCGAGTTGACCTCGAGTTGAACCTTGGTGTGATAGTTGTCGCCTGCTGGCTTGGTGACCAGGTGATTTGGGCACCCAGGAGCACGTGACCGCTTGTTCAACCATGTTCGATTGGGAATAAAGGAGGAACGCTGCATCGCAGCCTTTTCGGACCAAAACCATTCGACTCAGCGTCCAAAAGAGTACAACATATGGGTCAATCGCGGTCATCCGTGCTTTTATAAGAACGAAATTGCGCTTTTAGTGACATTTTGCATACAAATCCCCATCTAGTAGGGCGCAATCACCCGGTTTCGGTGGAAGTGCGCGAGTTCGATTGGGATTCAAGTAGGAAGTGAGCGTCTCAGCTTTCTTGGACCAAGACCATTCGACTCAGCACCCCGAAGACTACAACTGGTGAAATTTTAATTTTTGCCTTAACTTCCCCTTTAGCCACTGAGCTGTGGATTTATGCAGTATATAGCTCATGCGTTCGTTCTGCTTCTTGCTTCGTTGTTGTCTCAGTGGACTTCGCTGTTGCCTCAGTGGCGTTTGTTGGCTCTCCGAAAGGAACGCAGTTTGCGGGGGAACCCTCGACCGGATGGGTAAGTCTTAAGATTCATCGTGATAACTCCGCTTGTTGCTTTCTTGCACCGGCTTTGTGTACAATGAAGCAATTGCACCTCCAGCACCTGCGCTCTATGACCGACCTCATCACACCGGCAACAAAATGACTCCAAGTTGTAGTCACTGACAGATATGTTGCGAAATTCGATGCGCTTATTTTCACCCGCTGTTGTCTCTGGTCTCGCTGTTGTTTCGTCCTGTTCGGTGTCAAATATGGTCGTCTGTGTGTACGTGTTGTCCCTGCCCTTTTGGAGGGTATGTGCCCCTGTTGGCACGTGTGTG